CCTCAAAGAATGGCCAACCAATTCAGCCCTACTCTGAACATAGGATCATTTGGCTGGAGAAAAAAAAAAAGGTCTCAAGGGCTGAGCGTTTGCTTTTTTACCGCTGATCCAATCCCTTCTCATCTTGGCGGTCTCCTATAAACGCGAAACCCCCTGCATCTCAGCTCTAAGCGCTGGAGTCGCTATGCTCTGAGCCAATTGTTATGGGGGGAGGATCAGTGGTGAAACTCGACAGGTGTGTTTGCTGACTGTGGCATCCCGTTTCGTTTCATGTTGCCGTGAACATTCACTGGCTAACAGCCCTACAGCCACTGTAGCACAGCCCCTACAACAGGTACATACATTACCCCTGATCAGCGGTTGGTTGATCGCTGACTGTTCTTCCAATCACTGACGCTGCGCCTCCACTGAATGGAATGGGCATGTTCACCTTTTCGCCAGTGAACAAGGCTTGACAAGAGGGATTTCTCTTGTTTCCAGTGACTGTGCATCTGCATGGATCACAGTCCTTTGTGAGAATGGTTCACTACCTGGTCTAGGTCTAGGTCTAGGTCTTCTGAGGCTGAGGCTTACATCTGTAGCTATATATGCTCAACCCCCAGCCGCTGATCCTTAGTCACTCTATTTCTCACAGCCGCAATCCTTTTTTTGCAAACCTCAGCCTCCCTTGATTAAAACTACACACACTTAAAAAGATTGGACTGGTTCCTGTCTCTTTTATAGACTTTTCTGGCTTTTTCAAACTTTTGATACCCCCAATCGATATTGATTGTCGATCGCTATTACAGTATACTACCTTATTGTATCAGACTCACTACTACGTACGACGTTGCAACGAAACAACACAAACCCAAAACAAGACACGCTTCACACAACAAAGATGAAGTACACTATCGCTGGCCTCTTGGCCTCTCTCGCTACATCTGCCTCTGCGCTTCCTAACATCGCACGCAGCTCATACCCAACCGCCTCAGCATCTTCATCCGCTGCTGCTCGCATCCTCCTCGGAAACTCTGGTCACATCTACGTCGCCGACTTCAGCCCCAAGACGGGCAAGTTCGAGCTCACTCTGAACCAGGAGATTGAGGGCGGTAACTCGTGGATGGCCTACTATGACCCCAACTTGCTCTACGCCGTTGACGAGAACTCTGACGAGCTGAGACTCTTCAACCTTGATCTCGAGGCTAATAAGCTTACTCTCAAGACTAAAAAGGCCGGAAGTGTCGGCGTTGTTCATCTTGAGTTCAACTCGGACAAGACACGCCTTGTTGGTGCTGCTTATGGAAATGGCACCATTGATGTTTGGAACACTGAGAAAGGCGGCCTGGAGTTTGTCAAGACTCTCAAGTCTCCTGGAAAGCTTGGTCCTGACAAGGAGCGCCAAGCTGCTTCTCACCCTCATCAGGCCAACCTCGATCCTTCTGGCCGCTACTTTGCCGTCAATGATCTCGGCACTGACTCTGTTGTCATCATCGACTCCAAGGACGATGCTTACAAGATCGCAAAGAACATCCCCGTCGAGGCTGGCTGCGGTCCTCGACATGGTGTCTTCTACCCTCGTGGTGGAAAGAAGGCCACTCACTACATCGTTGCTTGTGAGCTGAGCAACCAGGCCCTCGTCTACTCTATCTCCTATGAGGAGAACACCCTTGCTTTCAAGCACCACCAGTCTATCTCTACCTACGGCAAGGACGCGCCTGCGAAGGACCCCAAGACCGCTGCTGTTGGTGAGATCCTTCTCGCTCCTAACAACAAGGATGTTTATATCTCCAACCGTTTGTCCGGAAACGAGACCGACTCTATCGCTCGCTTCACCATCGCTGAGTGCGGAACTCTCACTTATGCCGATACCGTCTCATCTGGTGGTCTCCTCCCCCGCATGATGAGCTTCAGCCGAACTGCCAAGCACGTCTTTGTTGGTAACCAGAACGGTACCAGCGGTCTCGTTGCTCTTCAGCGAGGTGCTGATGGCAAGCTTGCTGAGAAGCCTGTCGCTACCCTTCCTGGGTCTGCGTTCGGTGAGCCTTTGTTCGGGCCTCAGTATGTGCAGCAGATCCTCCTGAACTAAGACCGGAGATGTTCACTGTACTATTTCTTCTTCTTCTTCTTCTTCTCCTTCATGGCGCTTTTGGTGTTTCTCGGGCTTGATAGACCCTTGGAATCGGGCACATTGGTTTTTTTTAAAAAAAAGGTTCTTGTTTGTTAGTCAATCAGATAAATTGACATTTGCTCTATACCCTGGTATCAGAAAAAAGATAGCGCCTGTTCTTCGTGATGAAAACCCTGTTGCACATGTGATCCTATACTGTACTGTAATCCGTATACTCATATCCCACTTAATCTGAACTTGAATCGCTCGCCATGCCCGCTCCTCCACGCCCTGATGTATCTTCCAGACTCTCTTTGACATGTCGATACTCTTCATCTAGTATCTCTGGATCTGTGCACTTGTAAGCTGTCTCGAAGTCGATGAGAACAGCATCACCATCCTGTCTGATAAGGAAGTTGTGCTTGTTGATATCGCCGTGTACGATGCCTAGATCATGCAGCTTTTGCAGACTACGCTGGCATGTGGCGAGATCTTCAGGTACTGCAGTACGAGCATTGTGAATCTCTTCGAGGAGGAAACCAATGACTCGCCCGTTCTCGTGAATATGGCCGAGAAACTCAGGACCGATGCCTTGGCCGTGAATCCATTCGTACGAAGTCGTCTCAGCAGCGAAGTAAGGAATCTCCCATGGAAACTGCGCAAACTTTGCGAGGACTGGTGTCTTGAAAGCAGGATGCGATACGCGATAGAGCGTTTGGCGCACACGCTCGATCTGGCGGAGCTCGAGATGATCTATCATAACATCATGCCAGACATTTCCAATCCCGGGCAAACTGCTTCTTCTCGTCTCGCAGAAGAAAGGCTTCCCTGTATGCCCGTCCTTTCCGACACGGCCCTCGTTCCAGTCTCCCGGGGGAAATACAGGGAGTTGAGGGAGGAGTTTTGGCTCGTACGTGCGATGTTCAGGGTCTATGAGACCCCCGTCTAGTGTGACGTATCTTACGTGAGCGCCGTCGACGAGGAAGCGATACTCGCTCTTCTCGTCTGATTCAGGGTCTGCGAGGACAGCGAGAAGCCTGACGTTGTTGTTATGTTTCATGATACAGTGATCTTTGAGTAACCATAAAGGTGAGTACCCCTATGGTTATGGTTATGGTTATAACAGGCGTATATGTATATCGTAGTGATCAACACGCGATACAAGAGGTTGATGATAACACGTGGGGGTTATAGCAAGCCACAGAACCACGTGTGGAGCTGATATGTTGAAGATTGATGATTTATAGAGAGAGTGAGCTGAGCTGAGCTGAGCTGCGAGGAAGAACGAGTCTTTTTATGATTGAATAGTCTAGTCTATGGAGGGGCTTGGATAGCCTTTTACAGGTCAGGTAATGCAAAGCGTGCACCTAGACTGAACTGAAAGTGAGGAGAGCAGAGGTGGGAATTGCGCTTTGACTCGTATATAGTGCCCCAATACTACCTGTACGGTCGATAGTTAAGCGGGGGGTTCAGTTCTAAACGAGTCTGATGATTCTAGCTAGAGCTGATGAGCCGTCGATTCTGGCCGTGTTGATCAGCCCTGGATATGTACTGTAGAGCATCGTGAATGCATGTATGTATCCGTTGCATCATGTTTGCCAACGAACAGGTGGTCAATACATCCTCAGCCCTCTCGGAGAGTCGACTTGGGGCCATTTCCCCTCTGTTGATCAACTGCTGGATAGGGCGGAGACTATGCCCGGAATAAACGGATTGGTGCCGATAGGGATGTGTCTACTGCTGTAGCTAATAATAAGCGATCTGATAGTATGGGAAACTCTTTGTCAAGTGCTCATGACGATCCGCTCAGCCGAGTCATGGCCCTGTCTGTCGTGTAAGTGAGGCGGTTTCCATCCCCTGAATATTGCCATGGGGGGGATGACAGGGGTAAGTTAAAAAGCGCTCAACTTTTGGAGTGAAGAAGAAGAAGAAGAAGAAGAAATAAATAAATAAATGATGAATTATTAGTGCAGGATGATATTGGAGGTTATGCTGATGTTAGTTGAGCCTCAAGGAAAAAGCAAATATGATCATCATGCGCCATGACCCTTCTTTGACTATGGCTTCAGCTCTAGACTACGGATGGGATGGGATAGACAGAGTGACGTGATGGATGTACTTCTCCAGGTCCTTAGTATGTACAGTATATACTTGGTCGATATCATGTTACATTGTGATCCCCAATTGGTATGTTCTTTAGCGACACAACGTGCGTGCATGCATCGTTGAATGGTGTCGTACGATTGGTAACGAGACGTCGATCGAATGCCTCAAATGGTCGATTGATGCGTTGGCATTGAAGCCACGGCAGATGTCGTTTGGCTCTTTGTTCGTCTCTCTATTTATTTATTCACTTATCTTTCTTCAACTTGTTATAGTTCTGCTGCTCAGATCAAGCCCAATCTGTCCAATATCACATCAAGTGACATCTCGACAGCCTCATATCATATCATTCATACCAAATCACTCTCTATTCTCACTACACACATCCACCTCAACTCACACCGCACAGCATTCTCACCCGCAAGTTCAACCGTAACAGTAACCATCGCCGCACAAACCTCGCCTCGGAATCCATTGATTGGAACATGAATGCACGTCTTATTAGTCTTACTCTCACTGCACTCGTCGGGCTGCAGCGCCTATATGCATGCAGGCATCCCTCCCTCCTTCATGTCGTTCCTCAAGGAAACATCTCTCTCACACCATCCATGTCCAATTGCCTGCCATACACAATTTCTGCCTGATCCCGTTATCGTATGTAGACGTAAACTTAAATATCCTTCTCTTCCTCTTCAGGCCTCATCCCAAAGAGATAAGTATCTTGTCCTGCATCATGTTTTGTTGATTCCGGTGTCGTTGGACGCCCCCCGTTTTGCACTTTTATTATACCAATGTTTTCGACTCTGTTCTATTCGAGACCGACCTGTGAGATTTGATGTATATCCCTATACCCTTGCCTCATCTGCAGGCTGCCCGACACCATGGACCCCCAGCCGTTCCTCATCCACTCACGAAGCCCTTCAGTCATATTAGCCCATATCCGTATCCATATCCCACTCTTATAAGGAGACAATTCTCTGATAACCCAACGACGAATAACAACATCAAGATCGGACTCATTGTGGGCTTCACCCTTGCTGCGTTCCTGGCTATTGTCATCACCTTTTTGTACTTCTACTACAGATCTGCTCGGTTTACTTTTAGGAAGAAGAAACATCGTCGGCATCATCACCACCACCATCACCATCATAGGAGGCATAAATCGATGAGCAGTGGAGGCTCGAGACATTCTGATAGGAGTGCTGCTCCTGTGGATGATGCACCTCCGCCTCCACCTGATAAGCCGGCAGATGGGTAGTAGGGGGAGTAATCCTGTCTTTTGGTGAGTGATTACTGTACTCGTACTGTTGTATATCCGAGAACGAGGCTAACGCATGTTTAGATTTCTCTATTTCATGTATATCCTTTGAGTGTATTAGTGCTTCGTTCTTTGACTTCCAAAAGTAGAGTCCGCGGGCATCATGGTTGTGTAGTTGGATTCATGTATCGTATCATTTGTATTCTATCAGCCCGTCTTTGAGATATTCATAAGCTTCAATATTGTCTCTTCCCAGTATATCGTACAGTCTATTTCTCTTCATATGCAATGATCTAACAAACAGAAACAACATCCCTATGCCGTCTATGCCAACGATGTCCAAACAGGAAAGGATAATTCAGTCCATCGTGTATCTGAGGTGCGTCCATCTCATTCGGTGGGTGGAATGGATGTGGATGGCAAGGATTGGGCATCTGAAATATCGGCTCCGGTCTTCGAGGGCCTGAACGATGATGTCGTCGTCCGTGGTGAAGCCCGTGATGTCGGCAGTTAGGGTGGTGATGGACTCCATGGCGGTGATGTCGCTCACGACACTCAAGCTCGATATCTTCAGGGTCACCCTCGACACTTGCGTTGAAATGTCCTATGATATGACGCCGACGGCGCGAGTGACGATGATGGTTGCGTCTCTGACTGCTGCTCGTCCTGAGCTGCTTGAAGATGTTCCAATTCCATACAAATAAACCAACTCCGATGACAGCGGCGAGGAGAGTCAAACCGACGACTATTCCTATGATTTCCGGAGCTGTGTCTCGACGATCAAGCTTGTGAAGGGCTCTTGATAGGAGATGTTTGAAGTCGTGAGTGTGATTATAACCTTGAGTTGCTGGTTCTGTTGTGATACATGGTACCAGGTCATTATGAAGTGTTAAATTGTGAGTGAGACTGATGGAAGGCATCGTGAATGAGAGAATGTTTCTGAGAATGGCACGTATAACACATTTATTTTTTATTTTTTTACAGAAAGAAAGATGGCGAATCTAATGTCTATATACTCAGGGAATGACCTGTTTCCTCAATTGCAGCAACATGTCTTGTCCAGCATCATACCTCGCCAGTTGAAGCTGACAATCAATGGCTGATTTCTTTCTTTCATCTCCTGCAAATGCCCAAACATCTGCAAGGCACCGATTCCCCATGCAGTCCATCAAACTTGACAACATTCTTTGTCGTAACACATATAAATTCTAGAAGATTGTCTAACACGTTTGCAAATACATAATAAAATAACAAACCCTCAACCTTGTACCAATGGATTATATCATCGCATCTCCCTCCTCCGGTCTCTCCGTCGTCTTCTCTCCTCCGCCTCAACCTCTCCCTCCATGACCCCCCTGATCTGTCCCAACGTGCTCCCAATGACATCCTGCAACCTCCCGCCCTTTCTCACAAAGCGATCGTAAAACTCGCAGTCCCGATGTTTGGCGCCTCTTGCGTTCAAGGAGATTATCGTGCTCGACATGGCCTCCAACTCTGTCTTGAGGGTCTTGAGATCTAGGTCGCGCTTGTATCGGCGTTGACGACGACGGCGGCGGCGCTCTTCTTTGTCTTCGTCGCGACGAGGCTCGTAGGCTTGAGAATAGTAAGTCTCTTCTGGGCGAGGAGACTCGTAGTATGGTTCTGCAAAGGTAACGCGGTGGCGACGTCTCTTTCGACGTTCTTTATCAGATCCGTATTTATCACCGTCATCTTCGACATCCCTACTCCTCGGCGCTTCTCTGCTCCTCTCCTTATCTTTGTCTCTCTTCCTCTTCTTATCCTTCTTGCGATCGTCATCTCTTCGTGGCTGTTCATTCTTGCCACCAAGCATACCGAGAACGAATTCAGCTACACCACGGAAATCTTCGGGGTTGATCTGGTTTCCGCTTCGCGTACCATCGCGAGTTCGCTTCTCAGAGGATGATTGACCCATGGCCTTTCTGGCGGCAGACTTAGCAGCGGACTTGGCCAAGTTCTTTGCGAATGTCTCCATGAAGCTGGGATCCTCAGGAGGTCGAGAGCGTGAAGACTGGTCCTGGCGACCAAAGAACTGCTCGGCAAAGCGGTCCATTGGCATATCTTCAGGTTCGTCTCTGAGATGGTTCAGAAGAGTCTTTGATATAAAGTAGAGAAGTATGGAGCAAAGATGATGCTCGTCGTCGCTGTCGTAATCGTCGTCTTGGTCTTTGGGGTTGTCCTTGGGTACAGACTTTGTCTCGGCTTCAACCTCACCAACTTGTGTCTCTTCTAGTTCGTCCTCTAACTCTTGCTTGATCTCTGGGTCCTTTTGAGAGATCGAGTCGTGAGCTGCAGCAACGCCGTTGCTTTGTCCCTCGACTGCTTCTCCAGACCTTGACGAAGGGTTATCCAGGTTGTAAATATGCTCAAAGAACGCTAACAAAGAGAGCAAAGAGAGCAAAGAATAGAGAGAAGTGTGCAGGTTAATCAGGCGAACGACTTGTGTAGCAGATATGCAGTCGCCTATATATGCATGTATACTCTGTGACACAACACTGCCATAGTGACAGCAGCCACCCGGCGAACTCTCGACTATTTAAACATGTCAAGGTTGAAGATTACAGTGATTTTGTACCCATGAGGTACCAAGTCAGGTGAGTCGCGTCAGGTTCGTGATGGTTGAGACTGAGGATGATACATTTATAGGCCTTTGGTCACGCGCCTATTGCGGCAATGCAGGAACATGACCGCGCTGAGACATGACCATGACCAGAATCCTGCACCAAATGATCGTCTTCTTCCTCATAATATCCGGATCTGACTAGAAGAGATGATTAAGTTCCCTGTATTTTTTAAATGCCTAAACTGTCGTGATTGACTTCATGTCAGGCTTGTCCATCAGATGCTGGTGTTCTCTGATCTCAACCTGGAACCCAGCCAACCAGACTCCTTGCTTGAGGCCTTGCCACGACCTAGACCATCTTCCCAAACAGGCTGCCTCATATTTTCATGCCCTCTATGCTATTGTTCGTATCCCATTCATGTTCCAGACGCCTTGCGAATGCACTCATGCCACAGCCATCATGTCTAGCAATGAGAAATTTGCAGAAACAGACCAAGCAATGCACGCAGCAGATATATGCGCTCCGACTAATTAGCTCAATAGCTCCTTGATATCTTCGATACGTTGGAGCTTTTTCTCTTCATCACTCATCATGCCCAAAGAGGTTGCACTGTCCCAAATGTTAGCTGTGCTCTGATACTCTCGCCATCAGTGATACTCACATGAACTTCTTCCGCTCCTGGACCTTCAGCATCCGCTCCTCCACACTTTCCTTGACCACAAATCTCTTGACTTGTACCTCCGACTCTTGTCCCATTCTGTGTACTCGATCGATGGCCTGAGCCTCGACCGCAAAACTCCACCAGGGATCCATCATGAATACTCGACCAGCTGTCGTCAGATTTAACCCGACACCTCCTGCACGCAAACTTAGCAACAGGATCGTGAACCCCTTTCTCTCGGTAAACTCGTTAAGTACAGCCGCTCGAGCTTTCTGGGCCATGGATCCGTCAAGTCGCAGGAATTTGATGTTCGCACGAGTGAGAGCTGGCTCGATAAGGCTAAGAAAAGACGTGAACTGAGAGAACACCACAGACTTCATCTTGGGATGTTCTCGTCTCAGATTCCGCAACTCGGACATCAGTGCAACAACCTTTGCTGAAGAAGCATTGACGCCAACCCGTTGCAGGCTGATCTTAGGCTTCTTCGACATCATCATATCAGGGTCATCATCGTGTCGAATGACCTCAAACAGGTCACGTTTGTTGATGGGCTCTCGACAACTAAAACATCGAGGCACTTCGCCCTTGCCAATCTGATGCTTGATGTAATCAAGCAAGCACTTTTTACATGCAGAGTGCCAGCACCCAGTCACGGTCTGATCATTCATCGGCTCTTCAAAACATAGAGGGCATTCATTCTCAGCCTCATCACGGATCTGTTCCAAGGCATGAGCACCGAAGGTCTGGTTGGTCTCCTTCGAAGCCTCATCCGTCTCCGCCGTGAAAGAAGTGATAAGCGATTCGAGATCCATATCATCTGCCAGTCCAGCAGCGGCATCAGCAGCAGCTCCAGCTTCTTCTTCATCTGCCACAGTATCACGATTGCGGACTAGAATGGGATGGCAGCAAGATTGGCGAAGACGCAGGATCTGTGCAAAGATGGTCGTAAAGGCTTTCATGACAGTACCCGCTTCAACATTCTGCGAAAACGTTCGTTTCGCTTTGTTGAAGATGTAACTATACACATCTCTTTCCGTTTCCGATAGCTCCACATCAACAATTTCGACTTGCTTAGGTGGTAGGAGCACAAGCGGTTTGCCGTCGGGTGTTTTCATGTCCTTTGTACGTCGTAGGACGAGAGGCTCTAGCACTGTTTGCACAACATCCAAGGCCCGCATAAAGTCTCCCGATTCAAATGGCACAGTAATAAACGTTCGCCAGAACGAAAAGTTGTTCCAAGGCTCCACGCCTAGGAATCTGACAAGACTAAACAAATCTTCTAATTTGTTGACGATGGGAGTTCCCGTCAAAGCCCATCTATGGTAGGCTGATATTTCATAGCAAGCCTTTGCAGTCTTGGATGATCTGTTCTTGATATGGTGTGCCTCGTCGATAATAATGCGGAAGAACTTTAGGGAGAAGAGCCCGTTGTGAAAGCTCTTGTCTCCCTTTCTGGCAGCTATGCTACTGAATTCGGATAGAACAACTCCATAACTGGTAATTACTAGGTCTGGAGCGTTGGACGCGTTGGAAGCACAGCAGAGTGCCTGCAGATTGCTTGACTTCTCGTTGCCGTAGTATAACTCAATCTTCATCGTTCCATCCTTGGAAGCCTTCACCGCTTCACTTTGCCATTGCGACAGTAGCGACATGGGGGCAATCACCAACGTTGTGCAAGGCGCATCAAGCACCGATTCTGAGTTCTTGCCCAGTCTGGTAAGCTGATTCACGCTCGAGAGCTCAACAGCTGCTCGGCGAGCTTCAAGTGCGATCTCGGACCTGTGCGTGTGTACCAAGCTTAGCATTTGGATGGTCTTGCCAAGACCCATTTCGTCGGCAAGAATACCACCAAGACAATGTTGTTCTTGAACTGGGAAGTCAAGGGACAAGTCGCCAGAATACGGATTGACGTAGAACTTTGGCTGCCCCTCAACCTGAGGTACATTCTTATCATCGACATCTTTCAATGGCCAATCGTACTCCTCCCAAAGAGGATGCATGGATGGCTCCCGGTTGCTTTTCTCGTCCTTCTCTTTTGCCATCATCCAGTGTAGCGCTTGTTTTTGATATGATCGCAGTGTCATAGCAAAGGTATCTGCTGGCTCCGCCTCAGGGGTGCTGAAATCGAAGGACTGAGCCTTCTTGTAAAGTGCATCGAGCTGATCCTGTTCCAGCTCTTCTCCTTCTTCGGTCTCGGATGACTGGGATGAGTCGGCCTCCTTGCCGTTTCTATTTGTGTCCCCATTGGCCTTCTTCGCCTCCTTCTGCTTCTGTTCGTCTTGCTCGGCAGCTTGGAGTAGCCCCTTACGGCCATCTTCGGCAGCAGAATTCGACATAGTGGGCTGTAAGTTGATCTCTTGAAACAATTTAACCAGAGCGACTTGTCGCAGTCGAAGTGTTTTCTCATCGCTTGTCTCGTTTTGTTCGAAGAAAGCAGCCGATCGGTCGTCAGCGAGCTTGAATGAGCGGCTGAAGAAGGCAGAGTCAAGCAGTGAGCATCGCAATTGTAGAAAAATCGTGTCGTTCGTTCGGATTCTCTCAGGGGCGTAAACCACAGTTCCTTCGAATTTGCACACCTTTTCGTCGATCAGAGCTGAAACCCAATTTGCTGTCTCCTTCGCTAGCCGTCCAACTTCTGATCCGTTTTGGGTGGTGAAGCGCACGATTACATCGACTCGCCTCGCAGCGGCGGCGGCAAAACCTCGTGAAGGTGTAACTTGTCCGGTCTTTCCCTTCCCTCTGACAGATTGGGGTGGCTGTAACTTTTGTCGCTCGATTTTCACGGCATCGCCATGCTTCAACACGTTAACTCCGCTCCGTGTAGCCCATCCTTCAACACCAAACGCTCCTATATATCGTTGTTTCGGCATTCTCTGGCTTGTCTTGATACTTGGCTTGCGTTCATTGGGGACACTTGGCGACCGACTGGAGCTGGTGGTAGAGGTAGGCCTCAAGGGTGTTTTCCATGATGGCTTCTTCACAAATTTCTTGTATGTTCCATCAAAGTACATATTAACCGCTCGTTCGAGATCGTTTCCGCAGTGGTCTCTTATGGTCGAGAGGACGTCAGTAGAGACCTTGTCCCCGATGAAAGCTTCGAATGTCTCTTGATCAAAGGAGACAGACGACTCCTGTTGGAGCGCCGGTGGCCGTGACGGAGATGTTACAGGAAGATCATCGTCGTGTGTTTCGCCAAAATTATCTTTGTATTCATCTTCTTCCTCGACATCGTCCTCATCTTTAAAGAACCGTTTCGGCTGCGGTAGTGGGGACTGGTCATGAGAGACAGGGTCTGAAGAAAGTTCGTCTGGGTCTGCAAAAAACCTGCGTCTTTTCGCGGGAGGTTCTGGATCTATATGATCATCTGGGTGCTTTTTTTGGTAAGAAAGCGTCATGACTAAAGACCTTTTCTCATAGAGCGTTTGGCCAAAAATGTTGAAGCCCCCCAAAAGAGCTCCCTGAGGTCGGAGCTGGACTTTCTGGGAGACGCGACAAACCCCTGCAGGCGCGACTGCGCGTGGAAGTGTCACCTGATCCCGTGTTTAAGTGGCTCCTTTCATCTCGTCATGTCGTGTTAATTGATGTGGCTCATGCTGTGGCGCAACGGAGCTCGACGTCATGAAAAATTCACTGAAGGCGATTGGAAATCCGACGTCTAGGTATGGGTGGCCGTGTCTTAAGTCGCAGGACCGTCATGTTCATTGTATCACGATCAATTGTATTGTTATTGAGATGATAACAATCGCATTTCGATAATCGTTGAGAACTCATCATCATATAATGTATCGCCCAAGACTGTTGGGCCAAAATCTTCGGGGCTTCACCCTCGCCCGAACATGTCGTCGAACATATATCACAGATGCTGATGTTGAATCTGCGAGAAGATACTGTTTGACACAGTTACAGTAAGCTCAATTGAACATCCAAGGGGTCTTCTCTAACAGCCCTTAGAAACAGCGACTATGATGCTCATCTCATTCGCCGCTTTGTCCCCTCTCCAGTACAAGACACCTACGCTGCTCTCCGTACCCTCAACCTTGAGCTTGTTCGCCTTCCTGAGCTCGTTTCTAACCCCACGATTGGATCCTTTCGAATGAAGTTCTGGCAAGAATCCATTGACAACACTTTGGCGGGTCGTCCCCCTCGCGAACCCATCTGCATCCTCCTTCACAAGGGCCTACAAGATCTGGAGGCCCGTGATGGCAATTCCACCAAGAAATCCATAAAATTTTGGATCTCAAGATTAATTAAAACGAGAGAAAAGCATATGACAAACAGGCCTTTTGTCAATCTGGCGAGCTTAGAAGAGTATGCTGAGAATACATATTCGACTCTCATGTACACGACATTAGCATCACTCCCGCTGAGATCAATGCATGTCGATCATCTCGCAAGTCATATCGGGAAGGCCTGTGGTATCGCTACGATCCTACGTGGCATCCCTATTCTGGCGGCACCTCCCCCCCCAGTAAATACACCTTCTGGACAAGTTCCAGCTGTGCGAGAGCCTGCGCTTCTTCTACCACTGGATGCTATGGCTGAAGCAGGAGTCAAAGAAGAAGAGGTCTTCAGGCAGGGACCCAATGCACCCGGACTTCAAGATGCTGTATTCCAGGTCGCGACACGAGCCAATGACCACCTCATCACGGCCCGAGAGATGCTCAAGCGGCTCAAGGCAGGAGAGGATCCAGGTCACGAGTTCGAGCATCAAGGAGAAGCTGAGCATTTCTATACCGAGGGCAGTGATACATCGAGAGAGATCCGACAGGGATTTGGAGTGCTTCTTGAAGCCATCCCTTCGGCACAGTACCTGCAACGTCTGGAGCAAGCAGATTTCAACCCATTCGCTGTCAAGACAGCTGGCTGGAAACTGCCATGGAGTATCTGGCAGGCCTTGTCTAAGGAGCGAATCTAATATGTAAAACCACCAACTCGAGATATTTCTCGACTGTACTGTATCGAAAAGCCTGTAACATAGGTAGAAGGCATCGTTTTTAAAATATCATGAATGACGATGAAATCGATGACAATCTAATAGTGCATCAGGTGGTTGGTGTTGTCGAATAGATGAGTGCCCCACCCGCCCGCCATGAGCTGCCGCAGAGGTGGCTAATCCTCGGAGCCCAAAATTCGAGATCCGCCAGAAATTCATCCAGCTTGGGCGACATCGAAATATTCCGCGACAATACCATTCTTACTGTAGATGTCATCACCAAGATGCTCTACGAATTAATCGCGATTGTACGAGTCCCTTCCCTCTCTGCACATGCATTAGAGCTAACCGAAATCAGGTCCGACCAGGCAGCCTCTCCGAGGTGAAGGAGTGCGTTCCTCACATCGAATCATCAACCGATCTTAGCTAACCAAAGCAGGATCGCCCAAACCGTCGGTTCCCTCGTCCTCAAGAATGGCGGTGTCGTCCGCGGTCTTGCCAACTGGGGTGTATTCTCCCTGCCGAAGCCGATCTCAGTGCATCAGATGAAGCACACACACGGCCATTACTTCGTCATGCGATACGATGCGGCCTCAAAGGTCCACCAAGACGTACGAAATACATTGCGCCTCGAGCCCCGAATGATTCGTGCCGCCCATGTCAAGCTTGGAGACGGAAAGCTTGAGTCATTAGCCAGATTTGGGCCGCCCAAGTGGAAGACGACTGGTAGTGAGGCATAAGGGGAGAAAGAAAGATTTGAAGATATAAATGGACGACAAACGGCTTTAATAGTGATAACGAAGGATCAGGAAATGTTCATGTAGGATACATGAACGATTCTCGAATGAGTGTAAGCGCCAGAGTCCGAGAAAAGACTCAGCCCTATGCTCAGGCATCACACGATGCTGTGTACAAAAACGACGCTGCGTCCAAAGACAGCAGCCATGGTTGTATGAAATATTATAGAGCTCCAAACTATCATTCGCTTCATTATGTATTTGTCACGTTTTCAAGGACCTGATAGGTGGACGAATCTCATCAAGGGTTCAAGACACAAATCACACAGAAGGACAGGTAACATGAATGTGTTCTATTCTGTTACTGCTTGTCTATCATAAGTCATCAATTACAACCACACCGATGGCCCGGGTGCTCTTGGTTAACGCCGTCCTTCTCGAAACGCAACCCGCTTCCCGTATGTCCGGTTGGCGCCTAAACGATGTGCCCTGCCTGTATACTGTGGTATGTGGATATCGGAATCGAAGATGCAGGAGCCCATGTCTTCTATGAGCTCCGTTGCGTGTTGTGAGCCAATGAGTGTGCCGCTTCCCTAGTTGTCAACGTCCATGCCATCGGTCTTACCAATGCCCTGCTCACGACACCAATCCACAAAGTCGTCAATCACACTTGGCCACGCTCCATCCTCGTTCCAAAATGATAGCGACTCGTCAGATAAAGACTTGAGGGCAAACTCGAGTGTCATGTTCCACATGTCCTTGTTGACCGAGCGAGTCCACTTGTCATTGAGGAAGGACTTCCACAGTTCCAGCCAGTTGCGGTTTGATGTCTTCCACTCCATACCCGGAGGGGCAAATAGGATGTCCCAGTAAACGAGCGCAGTCTCAAGGTTCAGTGCTTTCTGGTCGCCATCTCGACCAGCAACAAAGGTATGTCTATAAACCTTTTTGAATAGAGTCGTGTCAGAGGAGAGGGATTTGGTCAGTTTTCGGAGATGGGCGGCATGCTCTTGATGTGTCGTTCCAGCTCTGTTTCAAATCAGCAACGAATTCACAAAGGAGTCTGCCCATGTATTGCATTCGGTGTCAATAGCAGGGCTGAGTGCATTCTTACCCAGTCACTTTCCAGCCATCAACGTAACCTTTCCTGGTAATGACGCCCACAGAGGGAGCCTGGAGAAGTTCAAGCGCAACAAGTAGCTCGGCGTTTTCTATGTTGACTTGTAGCTTCTCAGTGAGGTATGACATTGTGGAGTCGAGCTCCAGTTTGTCTTTTTCATCACTAGAGTCTAGTTGAAGATATAAGCTAATGAACCTGACGGATTGAGAGAACCAAAATACCTTGCAGCTGAGAGAATAGCTTGTCTAGCGATACTTCCAGAGGGGACGGGCCTTTGGTGTCTCCATTGGATGAAAAGAACCTGTTCGATATATGTCAGTCGATACCGCAAGGTAATGTTGAATAGTGAAGGGTTTTGAGCAAAGGGCCGGTGTAATGGCCAACAATAACTATGCGTGCTGCTGTGGCCATCTCAGCCAACACATAACACAACTATTGAACACCAAGGTGATATACCAAGATTTCGAGTTATTTGGTGTTTGTTCAGATTCCGTCTGATGAGACGATCCAGGGGTATCTTTGCCGGCCTCCTTGGTAGAGGACAAGATAGGAACCCCGGTCGTGATGCGCTTCTTGAAACTTTTCCATCCCATCTTCTCAGTTGGCCGGACGGTGCTTGAGTGACCACAGTAAGGTCACAAAGCGCTGAATGGTCAAGGTCCCTGAAGAATAGGAGGGGTTGGAAGTTTTGTAACAACGTAGGAGGCGTATGTACAAGCCCTGTCATGGGTGCCAACTACTTCAAGATTCCCATGATTCTCATCTGGGAATTTGATAGAAGTATAAGCACCGCATGTCCTCGAGGTAACGTATTCAAGACCCCTCAATAGCACCAGATCTACAAGTAACCTTGTCTAAGACTATCGGCGTCTTTGTCGGTCATACTTTGCAAATGAGACGGGCAATAGTGGGCCGGGAGACAGTGACAGGATGAATACAATGGACAAACAATAGCCGGAAGCTGCTCAAATAGACATATCCGCATCCGGATGTAGCAGAGAGCATTGTGCCAGTAGACATAGGCGACGTGTATCATGGCAAGCATAAAGAATAGGAAAGACGGCAGTAACTTACGTATCGACAGCTTCGTTGAGCTTGAAACCGGCATTCTTGAGGTACTATTAAAGTGGATGTTAGCAACGCCATACCATACAATCATGATGATACAACTCCTGGCTAAATAGGCGCCGCTGAAACACAGGCCGATGCATCCATAGCCCAAGCCATGCCGTGTAGAGCAGTAGGTTGTCATGAAGTTTATCCGTGTCAGGGACCAGCTTGGTTCGCGATGATCGACATAGGTAAGGAGGGCGAACACGGAAAATACGTACACGGGTAGCTTGTCGCTCTGATTGACCAGTCAGAGCTACGAACTGGGCGATGAGAACCTTTTGCTGGGCAGCAGATGGTGGAGGCATCTTGACGGCGTCGGATTCGTTGCTAGTTGGCAAGGTTCTGCAAGGATATCGAAATCGAGTCGCCAAGCGGGCTATTGGGATATTCGAGCGTCGGCCGATACGGTCGAACTGTTCCACGGAGGATGCTCGGGGTTAGGCTCCTAGTGGTGATCGAACGGTGAAGATGCTTGGTTCGGTCGTGGTGAGA